AACGGGGGGGGGGGGCAAGAGGCTGGTGGGGTTCATAGGGGGCTGGTGGGATGGGCAAGGAGCTGATGAGATGGCCGAGGGGCTGGTGGGGTGGGCAAGGAACTGGTGGGACTGGTGAGGTGGGCAAGGATCTGGTGAGATGCACTGGTGGGGTGGCCAAGGGGCTGGTGGGATGGGCAAGGAGCTGGTGGGGTGGGCATGGGCAAAGTGGGGAGACCTTGTAGGGTATGTGAGGGAGTGGTGGGGTGCTTAGGGGTGCACTGGGGGAACTGGTGGGGTGGGCAGGAGGGTCCCCAGATGTCTCACCGTTCAGGGAAGGCTCCTCCGTCATGTTCCTGATGACGGGGTTGGGTGACACAGTGAGGCAGAGGATGGCTGTGGTGGTGGGGGGGTGGGAGAGAGAGAGAAGACATCAGAGACCCATCCTTGGGTGCTCCAGGTGGGACACAGGTGGCCAGGGAGGCACCCAGACATCCAGGGAGGGGTTGGAGGGGGGGGACAGGATGTAGAAGGACACCCACAGTCATTGTGCTGGCAGGCGCCCTGGTTGGCCTCCGTCTCTTCCAACCTCTCCACCAGGCTCTTCGTGATCTCCTGGAACTTCTCCGTCATGTTGCTGCTCTCCCTTGTGGTGAAGATGACCTTGTGCTCCACCACGATGCTGCCAGATCTTTGGTGAGAGGACAGAGAGGGGTTAGAGGGGACGAACGAGGAGACGTCATCCCACCCCCACCCCATCACCCATCTTCCTCTTACTTGAGGCTGAGGATCTCCACGCCTTCGTAGCCGGGGATGTTCCCATAGATCTTCCTGATCTGCAAAGTCAAAGGGTTGTGTGAGCCACCACCCAGGGGACAAGATGACCACAGAGGGACAACTCAGTCCCTTGTCCTCACCTCCTTCCGGAAGTGCTCCTCAAAGTTGCGGTAGGTCTCCGATTCGGTATCCTTCAGGTCCTCCGTGTAGTTGAAGTTGGTGACGGTCACCACCAGCTCCACGTCCGCCACGATCGTCCCCGGGTGAGCTAGAGGACACAAGGGGCGAAGGAAGGGAGCTCAGCACGGTGGCCCAAGGAGGCCAGGACCTCCAGGGAGGCCATGAGGAGGGGTGAGGTGGGGTGGAGGTGGCACTTACGGAGGTTGGTGTCAATGGAGTTGGTGGAGAACTGGCAGAAGGGGCCGTAGAAATATGGGGTGCAGAGACACGTCTTGTCGACAATATTGTAGGTGCCTCCATTCTGGCAGGACACTGGGAAGGAGCAAAGTGGGGGGTCACCAGGAGACCTTGGAGGACACCCAAGGTCAGGGGGACCTGCCAGGAGTTGGGTAGGGTGGGAGGTGCCAGGTGGGGCATGATGGTCCTTTGGGGTGGAGGTGGGCAGCGGGGGGAGGACTCACCTGGAGATACAACAGTGGTGGTGGGTGTTGTGGAGGTCTCTTGGGTGATGGTGGGTGCTGTGGAGATCTCTTCTGGGGTGGTGGTGGGTGCTGTGGAGGTCTCTTGGGTGGTGGTGGGTGTTGTGGAGGTCTCTTGGGTGGTGGTGGGCGCTGTGGAGGTCTCTTGTGGGGTGGTGGTGGGTGTTGTGGAGGTCTCTTGGGTGGTGGTGGGCGCTGTGGAGGTCTCTTGTGGGGTGGTGGTGGGTGTTGTGGAGGTCTCTTGGGTGGTGGTGGGCGCTGTGGAGGTCTCTTGTGGGGTGGTGGTGGGTGTTGTGGAGGTCTCTTGGGTGGTGGTGGGCGCTGTGGAGGTCTCTTGTGGGGTGGTGGTGGGTGTTGTGGAGGTCTCTTGGGTGGTGGTGGGCGCTGTGGAGGTCTCTTGTGGGGTGGTGGTGGGTGTTGTGGAGGTCTCTTGGGTGGTGGTGGG